GCAGTACTGGATCGCTAACTACAACACTTTGCAGTACTGGATCGCTAACTACAACACTTTGCAGTACTGGATCGCTAGCAACAACACTTTGCAGTACTGGATCGCTAGCAACAACACTTTGCAGTACTGGATCGCTAACTACAACACTTTGCAGTACTGGATCGCTAACAACAACACTTTGCAGTCACACTGCCAGCAGTACAAAATACCCCCATCTGGTCACCCAGCCAGGAGAGCGACTGCAACCGACTTCTCGTGCCTGGCGCAGAATTGCGGCAGGTGACCGGAACGGATAATTTTCATCGCCGGCGCATTATTGCGCCACGTGACCGAAAACTGTTAATGTTTTTTTTCTCTCTTTGTACTTGTGCATGCTAAACTGTATAAAACAGACTGAAGTTGTTGTATTTAATGGGGTTTTTTTTTCTGTCTTTGTGCTTGTGCAGGGGTGAGGATGCGAGCGCCGAAGAAAGCGGACCACGACCTGAAGTACGGCCTATCCATTGGCGTGCCTGTGGTGTTGGCTGTCCTACTGGTCGTTGCTGGGGCCATGATTTTGTTGTGGGCGTTCAGGAAAGGTAGGTTTGTTTGTTAACCCTATCTGTTTACGTCGTGTTTTACTCTCGTATCCATACGACGTGGGGAACTCTGTGCCACCACTTAACCCTCTCCGTACGTCGTGTTTCACTATCGTATCCATACGACGTGGGGAACTGTGGGCCACCACTTTGAAAGAGGAAATTTACTCTTTAATCCAATCCGTACGCTTTGCATAGCAGTCTGTCAAAATGATTTTTTGAGAAATACTGAAAGTTTCAAAGAGATCTTTGTACTAGAAGTATTCTAAAATGTGAAGAATACAACCCAGGGGACACAAAATGATCCCAGGGCGTACGCATAGGGTTAAAATTCTATTCAGGAGAAATGGATATTCATTTCATTAGAAGAAAGGCAAATAAATCTGCTTTCAGATGATACCAATAACTCCACATGCCCCAAAATTGACAAGCGCCTGATTCAACCGTATCGTGCTACATAATTTGTTCTCTTTGGGCAAATACAGTGGAAATTTTCCGAGATGGGGACCCAATGTTGAGAAGAAATGTGGTTTTTTTGTTTTTTGTTTTTGTAAGTGTTTTACAGCGCTCGCAACTGCATAAGGTCACATGAGCGCGCGGGACACATTAAACTTTTTCAGTTGGTAGGAAATTTTGAATTTTGTCTGGGTGGCGGCCGAAGCCTACTCTTATCGATTTCAAACCACCAAGGGATCTTTAACGTGCGCAACTTGCACACGGGTCCTCACGAGATTTTTCGCCCTTGTCTGAGAAGGCTAGGTGTAGATCTTTCTTACGAGAAGATCAGGAGTGTGGCTGAAAGACAACAGTAAGAAGAAGCCAAGGAGTAGCAGTAGAAAGGCTGTAGAAAGAATCAGGAGCACAGAGGAGGGGGGCAAAGGAGATGAGGAGGTGAGGGCAGAAAGAGGAGACGAAAGCAGACAACAGAACATTGCTAGAGAGCAGGAAAGGAGTTGAAAGGAGACAAATTTAGAGAAGAAAATTTTTTGGTCACTACCCGGATTGGAACCCGGGACGTTTTAATGAGAGGCCAACACCTTAACCTCTAGGCCACGAGAGCCCCCGAAAAGTGGTTGCCTTAGACAGTGCCAGGCTCACTGCATGATTAAATTTCTCATTAAGTTTTTAATACATATGTATACTTAATACATATACATAATACTATGTTTTACGTACAGATATGTTCATACATTTTTTAATGTGATATCTTTATTAATGTAATGCGCATTGGGCATTTTTTAAAAGAAAATGAAAATGCGTAGTATAAATGCTATTTATTATAATTATTATTTTCTTCTCCACAGGGTATTTGCGGCACATTCCCAGGGCGTACAAGCACTTCACGAATCCGACGCAGTCAAAGAGCAAGGACAACAGCCGCAAGACGGAATCGAACATCGAAATGGGTTCTCCGGAGAGAATCCCGCCGCAAAGCGAACCACCGTCGGTGCACATCTGATCTGGCTCACGTAGACTTGATGCTTTTAATCCTTCTGAAATCATTTGGAGCACCGGTAGAACTAGAGCTTAGTAGAACTTGGGCTATTCTGCACCCCCTTCCCACTACCTCCCCAAGCGATCGGCTATTCTGCACCCCCTTCCCACCTCCACCTCCCCAAGCGATAAAAAACTGGAGACTTGACACTTGACATGTCTGTTGAATTGTTCAGGATTTTGTCCTGCCTGTTCACCAGATCGACTGCTCAAGGGAAGACTGTCAAAAAAACATTACTTTTCAAACTGGCTTATGTCGAAGTCTTACTCTTAATTGGTCGCTTTTTTTTAAGCACAAGGGGGCTATCCAGAAAAACGCTGTTTTGAGAAAATCAAAGGTAAAGTTTTTGTCCCTTGTTCAGTTTCATTAAAAAACAAGAAGCGTTTTCTCTATAACTAAACACATATACACACCAATGAAACCAAACTTCTCCTATAGGTAGGGAAATGCCCACTTTTGGTGTAAGCCAAGATTTCTGGAAACCACCGAAATCTGGGTTAGCCCGCTTCTCATTAAAAGCGACCAAATAGTCGAGATAATCTGGTGCAACAACGGCATCAGCAACTACAACTACATCAAAATCGACACCATGAACCTTCCGTGCCCTCTCCCTACCGTGCGATGTGTATGTCGTTCAATAGTCGTGTAACTTATGGATTTTAGCACCATCTGAGCCTGGTTACGCCTCAAGTCCAGTCGCTGATCTCCCCTGAGATCCTTTAGAGAAACCCCGATGATGTTGCAGACTTTTCGCCTTTTGTATGACTGTTACTTGGAGAGCCTAAACAGAATGATATGTGACAGGGAGAGATCGGGATAGAATGTGACTGTTTTGAGAACTTTCGAGCAAAAGAATGGATGGAGAGTCGTGATAGCCTATATCTGTCGCACATCCGGCACTTGACGATGATGATGATGATGATGACAGTTAATTTCCTGCTTTTGAAAAAGGGATATCTACTGCTGTTCTCTTTGGGATTCACTCAGCCAAGACACTTTTGTTCTCAATGGCGGACGGACAGTGTCGGATGGTACCGGCTGGTGAAAGTTACGTTGATGGAGGTTTTTTTTTTGTCTCAGACCAGATAATGTTTGGTGTGTTTTCGTGGTCTTTCCAAATCCATTTGATTTTTTTTTTTTTTCATTTGTTGATTAGCGGAAGCCTTGACAGTTGTTCTGCCTTGTATTATAATTTTGTTGTATTATTTTCATCATTTTGTATTGTCGGCCAGCTGTTAAAATGTACTACGCTTCTTCTTTCCTATCAAACATCTATCGTCCTTATCTCCCCTTCTTCTTTTTTGTGTTTGTTACTCTCTTGTAACACCTCTAATCTTCTGGCGCTCATATGACCTTATGCAGTTGCGAGCGCCGTAAAACCTCTACTAAAACTAAAATGTACTACGCCTCCAATTTTAAAAAAAAATAATTTTTTATCACAGTTTCTTTAACTAGTGGATCAGTTGGATGTGCTCAAGAAATGTTATGTTGAAGTTCAAATTCTAAATGTAAAAAAAAAAAAAAAGAAAGTGTAATAATGATAATAATCATAATAATAATAAATAGCATTTGTATAACGCGTAACCCTGCTCTACTGCAAGCTCTATGCACTTTATACTATATTATTAGTACCCCAGCAGACCATAGAACACGTAGAAACATTCTCAGCTTCCGGGGAAGTATACAGTGCATGCAGCTGATTGAGCGCTCAGACAATAACAAACTGACAAGATCTTTCACTATCTATAGCCGGGTACCCATTCCCACCTGGGTGAAGTGAGGAAAATTTGTGTAAAGTGCCTTTCTCAAGGACACAACGTCGGATCCCTGACAGAATTCGATCCCACAACCTTACGGTTACGAGTCCGAGAGTCTAACCACTAGGCCACCAATGCCATGTACTTACAATGGGTAATGGAATGAAATAGTTTTTCTCTCGCCTGTAAAATGTTGCTTTCTGGGCCTAGTACATTTTACCATCTTGCCGACTATACATTTCTTATATGATGCACACACACACACACACACACACACACACACACACACACACACACACTCACACACACACACACAGTCGGACCTGTCCTTATAGCCACCTAAAACAAATGGCCACTTCCTACTCACCCCACCTTGTATTTTTTCCGTACCATAGTATGCTGATGAGTGAGGCATGGGAACCGTCATAATCCGTTAGCCGCTCCCAAAACTGAACGGTCCTCTGACCTCAAAAACATATAATACAAGTTCGTTTGTTTTTTAGTAAGAGTTTTACTACGCTCGCAACTGCATTAGGTCATATGAGCACGCGAAGATACAAGTTTTCAGACTGAGAAGCGAAGGAAATTCATTGTGGGCCATTACAGAATGATTTAAAATTAGGAAAATGCAAATTCGAGGCATACTGAAAAGGGCATCATTATCGACTGTAGAGTTTAAAGTCTCAGCATTTCTTACCCCACGGCATAGTGGGAAGGCCACGGGCAATGGACCAATCAATAACTCTCCTGTACACAGGGTTTCTAGACATAACACGTGGAAGAATAAGCATAACAGGACCGTGCTCAATTTGTAAGTGAACTTAGCATAACAACAGTTGTTGTTTTTTTGACACTATAAAACAAACCTCCCATTCCTCCTCCTCCTCCTCCTCCTCTCCAAAAGGGGTAAAAAAATGAACGAAATGTTTTTATGGGCCTAAGTCAGTCCTTAGCTTGCAACCACCTCCGGTTTGACCTCAGAAGGGAATGTTTTGTTTTCTTAATAGTCATCTGACCTGCTCAAAACATCTACCTGTCTAAAACATCCACTTTGTTTCCTCAGCAAAAGGTGGCTGTTACCCCCTGGGGTGGTGCTACTGACTGAAGTGTCTTTAGGCCTTTCCCAAGGGGGGGGGGGGGGCATTTACATCCCGAGTTCTTATGCATAGTAGAATTGTAATTGTAAATGGGCTGATTCATCAATGTCATGTTCATAACTGTGCCTGAACTGCAACAGGGAACTGCTGCTTTTTCTGTCCTAATCCTTACTATCGCTATTTTTCCTCTACTTCTTTTGTATGTTTGTCACACTCTTGTGACCCGCTATTTCCAGGGTGCCTTGACAGTCGAAGCAGACTTTGTGCTGTTGAAGCTAGAGAGGTGTGCAGAGTAAGTCTGATTCCCTGTAGTTAGAACTTCTCTGCTAACACCCACCCTTTGGCGCTCATATGACCTTATGCAGTTGCGAGCGCCGTAAAAACCTCTACTAAAGCAAAGGGTGGCTATCATGGACAACTCCGACTGTTACATTTAGAAAAAGAGTGAACTTTTGTAATCTTTATCTCTTTCGATTTCTTCCTTGATTCAAAAATATTTTTTGCTTGAGATACTCGTATGTTGACATTTCTACTCCTTCGCAGAGATTTTCTTACAGTACAGTGATGAATATGCGTATATGTATGTCCGTTCGTTTGTTAATAATAAGGTACAGGCTACTCTGTCGCTGTAGAATACTGTGATTGAAATGCATATATAATACTTCCATGCATATATATCCTTTGAATTAATATTATTTTGTTATTTTTGTTGTTTCATGTGTTGTGGACTTGCCTTAATTAAGTTGTTTTGATTTTTTTAATTCCTTACCCAGATGTTGTTTCGCTATGGCACTAGTTTTTACAGTATGAATTTATGATTTATTTTCAGTATTTGTCTTATTGTGTTCCTTTTAAAAAAAAAATTTGATGTGGTTTTGTTCTTACGCAGAATCAAAAGCCATTTTTTTTGTGTGTGAGTGAAGCATAACTGTAGAATTTGGAGTGGGGGGGGGGGGGGGCTCGTATTGTTATATGTATAATAGAAATAGTATAAAAATGATAATATATGGCATTTTTATAGTGCTCAGCAGGGTGTAAAGTACACTGGCTCTGAGCGCTTTACAGTACAATACAGCAGTAACGTTTATCAGTACATTGAGTTCAGACCTAACGAAAACCTCACTCTAAATATTTGTCTCATTAATTTGAAAACAGAAATGACTTTAGCTGACTTTTGAATGAACTAAAGGATTTGATCTCTCTTAAGCTACTGTGCAGAGCATTCCAGATCTTAGGGCCTTGACTTTCTAATGCACTTTCACCGATTGTTTTAAGTTTCATAAATGGTAAAAAAAATTTCACTTTGTCGGCTGATGAGCAAAAAGAAATTTCTTTTACCACATAGGAAGCTTAAAACAATGGGCGATTCTGCTTCCTTCTCCTTTTAGATTATCCATGACAGGCAGGGTCAAAGCAGCTCAACCCGTAAATGAGTACATGTAGTTGTGTTAAGTTCTGAGAGTCAGCTAGCTTCATGGAAGTATAGGGCACATCCAAATTTATAGAGCTTTCCTAGAATATCTGACAGGTTTTTACAAGTTATTTCATTTCACTTGCGAAAAGGAAGAGTTTGCAGTATTATTGTTGTTGCTTCTTCTTGTTGTTGTTGTTTTACACTTAATTTGTTTATGCAAAATACTTTGTTAAAACACCTGCCTTTCACACCTTGTGAGTGTGCGGTTTCGGCGTATGAATTTCTTTATATTTGTTGCTCTCTACTTTTTTGGTGTGGACATAATCATCGATGAATCTCAAATGCTATCTTTTTGGTAGATTTATTCTGTGCATTGAGCTGGCTTTCTTTCTTTTGATTATTTTTCTGATTTTTGTGGCGATCTCTTGTTTAACTCATCATTTATTAATCCTGCGTGCTTATGACAGATGAGGCTGTTCTTAATGTTTTATGAGAGTGCGATAACGAGCAATTACCTCTAGTAATTACGAGAAAGTCTTTCTTCTTCTTGGTTAGTGATCCTCATTAGATCTCATGTGCATTCCAGCGGGCTGTTCAATGAACCAAGAGGGCAAGTCATTTGTATGTTCTTGATCTATTTTCCTACAAGACAATAGTATAGTGTTTGTTCATTTCTTTTGTAATCTGCCCCCGCGGTTTTAGGCCTAAAAAAATTCTGAAATTATGCAAACTGAGCCCAAAAATGTGAAATTATGCGATTCTGTTAATTTTGACAAAGAGTGATGAAGGAAAATAATCAGAAAAATTGCAAAAAATAATCAAATTTTGCTAAATTATGCGGGTTGCATAAAATCACGGGG